CTATCTATTGAGGAAGGTGTCCTCAACGAATATGCATCGTCTGTAAAGTCATATAAGTAACAGGCAGAAATGATGGAATATATAATATACCGTTGGCGTTGGATGGATTATTATCCTCAGAGGGTTCGGGAGTGCTGTCTGAGGATGACGTACTCAAGCGACCGATACGTCCAAGCTGATATGAATCCGGAGTCGTATCGTCTGCATGGAAAGTTAGAGCAGAAGGAATGATGCAAGTAGCAACATACCATCCTCACGAGTATCATCAGAGCCGTCGTGACTATGCTGCGAGGAATCGACATCCCCCGAGCAATATTGAGGGATAATATATTGGAGTATGAGCTGCATATGAAGTTCAGTGGTTGTACTCCAGCGTGCTTGCATGACCAGTAAGCGACAAGTGTAAGTACGAGAAGAGAGGAAGTGATAGTAATATTGAGATGCACTGGGTGAGGATCCGAGTACTGTCTGAAGTTGGAACTGTCAACGAAGATGCATCTGTCGACATGGGCTTGGATAAGAACTCGGATAGCGTTGGGAGAGGAGAAGGAACCATACAGCAGCCTGAGAATAGGCACAAGTACTGTGGTCCATCATCCCAAAAGGGGACATTTATATAGATAGATACTCGAATAGGGATGGGTGATTCACTGGTACCACTACTAGGTGCCCCTGAACACACGAAGACTATTTCCGGGAAGGTAAGTGAACACTAGACGCTTGCTGAGCATCGGGGCATCCATAAGCCTACACGTGGTGCCCGGCAGGTTCATTCGTTCGATCGATGCCCCCGAATCAACTTCGTCAGTGAATCGCCGTTACCTGTTCGAGTATCTATCTATATAAATGTCCCCTTCTGGGATGATGGACCACAGTACTTGTGCCTATTCTCAGGCTGCTGTATGGTTCCTTCTCCTCTCCCAACGCTATCCGAGTTCTTATCCAAGCCCATGTCGACAGATGCATCTGCGTTGACAGTTCCAGCTTCAGACAGTACTCGAATCCTCACCCTGCATCTCAACATCACTATCACTTCCTCTCTTCTCATACTTACACTTGTTACTTACTGGTCATGCAAGCATGCTGGAGTGCAACCACTGAACTTCATCATGTCCAGTATGCAGCTCATACTCCAATATATTATCCCTCAATATTGCTCGGGGGACATCGTTTCCTCACAGCCTGGTCACGACGGCTCTGATGATACTCATGAGGATGGTATGTTGTTACTTGCATCATTCCTTCTGCTCTAACTTCCCATGCAGGCGATACCACTCCATACTCATATCAGCTCGGACGTATCGGTCGCTTGAGTATGTCATCCCCAGACAGCAGTCCCGAGGACTCTGAGGATATTAATCCATCCGACGCCAACGGTACATAACCCACCTACTTCTACCATGTGTAGGGATTAACTTCTGATAATTTCTCCTCGCAGAATCCATCGAATAGTACTAGTCAGCGTACCCTAGCACAGTTCATCACGATCCGCCACCGAAGACTTACCAATTCAGTAGAGTACGCAAACAGACGATGATTCTCGCGCCGTAGTACAATCATATATGTAGCCAATCGTTTGCTTCATCTAAATCATACAATGTGACACTGCTGAAGCTTAGTAGTCGATCGATATTACACTATGAAAGCTATCATTTGTAGATAGGCCTTGCTGATGCAGAATTCGACGGGCTTTTGGTCGCAACCTACAACAATCCAACACTACTCACGATGAGTGCACCTAACAGTAACATGAACGAAGGCAGCCCAGAGGCGAGCACGCCAGAGTTAACATCACCCGCTACCGTAGCAGCTTGTGCAGTTAGATTCGGGCAGATCGGAGCCACGAGCTGTTCGCCGTAGATGCTAGCAATCCAAAGCGCAACACCATTCGTCCATCCGAATCCTGCTTGGACTGTATATTCACCTCCGCGACCGGCGGAGTCGATGTCAGACATCGAGAACTTTTCGAACATCTGCGCAGACAATCAGGTACGAGTTGACGGAGGCGATGTGTATATGGAAATGCGCACATTACCAGTGTTGTTGATGCTTTGGGTCACATTCAGTTCTTCGGGCGAGAGTCGAGGCAATACATTCTGGATTTCCCCGCCGGTAGCATGCCTAATTGAAGAACATCCGTCAGTCAAATAGGAAATAGACAACTCGAGTATCCGCAGCATAATAGTAACCCACCAGGAACAGAGCGCACTGGCGATATACCGATTCGCCAATTCTCGTTGAAGCACCGCAGCCCATCCTTGTCCTTCAGTTGCATTCCCACCGTTGAAGACGGTTCCGTTTAGAGTATTAATGTCAGCTGCGCCTCCCGTCCTGGTAGCATTCTGAGCACCGATGACAAGTTGACCAGGAAGTTGGTCTTCCGCGACGTCGATTTGTCCTGAGGGAACCAAAGCGTACGTGGAATTACCTGAAGGGGCGTTCGGAAGAGGAGTACTGGTTATGTTTGATGGGAGATTACGAAGAGCTTCGAGGATGATGTGCTGGTGTGGAGGCCAACTGTTCGGCGAATCCCTAGAATACAAATTATTTTAGACGTCCGTATATAATCGGGAGCCAAAACGATAGAATCACCATTGCAAACCGGTCTCGTGGAAGGTGACAGGGTACGTCCCGTTATACCTGTTCAAAACTAAGTTTAGAGACGAGAAGATCCCGAACGCGGTTGCACCGGAACCATCCGCCAAGACTTCAGGAGGGATAATATGATTCCACAATGGATAGAAGTTGGCAGCGCTCAGAACTGTCCCTCGTGCACCTGCAGTGAGATTGAAGTCGTAGAATGCCCGTTTGTCGGTGTCCCAGAACAAGTCGAGGATGCCCTCCTTGAGAGCTGCTGCTGCAGTAGTGTGGTTCGCCGCAGCAGCAGAACGTGACTGGTTGCTGTACAGAGAAGCCAGAATGGTATGTGCGCCATCTGCAGAATAAGGAAAGGTATTGATATGAGAAAATGTAACCGCAGATACGGAAAGTGATTCTTACACAAGATACTATTCAAATCCACAGGTAAAGTTCCCCTAACATTTAATGTCCTCAGACCGGGAAGTTGATTATCAGTTCCACCGGCATTGAAGTTCTTCTCCCATCGAGAACTATAATCCCAGCCAGATTCGGCACCAGTAGCCAACTCCGCATAGAGATCAGCACGCTCGGATTCGGTCAGGGGCGTCTCCAAGGATGGGTCGTTAGCTGTCAGATAATCCGTCAAATAGGATTCAGGGCGAGGTGCAGAGTTGTTGACGGCATAACGATACATCGTATGCGTAGTGTTTGTGTAGGGACTTGTGACGCTTAGAGACCTGTTCGTGGCCCACCATGTCAACTCTTTCTATAATATTAATTAGTAAAAGAAAAGAGTTACCAAACAGACGTAGAGCAGCAATAGACACACCTCAGCAAGTGGAAGAGCACGGCGAAGAATGGAGGTGTCATTCGATGCTTGGACATACGCATCGAGCATCTGATGAAATTCATTTCAGAGTCTATAAGCGCACCCTAGACCGTTCTGAACCCATATGGACTTACGTGAATGAATAGAGGAGGCTGTGAACGATCCAAGTCTGTTCCCATACCAATTTGAATATGAAGGGAACAGGAAATACGAGAGAAGAAAATGAGACGTACAATAGATCCGACCACCATTCGGGATGAAACCAATGTGCTCCACCTCATCCATAAAGTTTTGGAGTGTGTCGTTCGCGGTGGCGAACAACTCGGATTCTAGAAGACCTAGTACGATCCAATAAGAATCCCAGTAATCTGCGAAAGATGACGTCATTAATCAATTTCAAGTGACAGAAAGCTGATATGAATGGAGACCGACATTGTTCTCTGAATCGACCACCGGGTACAACGAATGTGTGATTGAGAGCAATGAGAGTACTCTCACAGGGACCGCTGTTCGTGCCCATTGGGCATAGAGATGTATTATTGGTTTTTCGGATAAGCTGTGTCCAGAAACCGTGTACAGTACCAGACCACGCCTTAACGAGAGGATCAGACACATTGTTCAAGAATGCAGGATCCGTTTTGAAGTTGGGGACTGCTACTGCTTCCAATTCTAAACCTTCCCCTCGGAAGGCTGAGTTGACGAAGTCAACAATGGAACCCTCAGTGACACTACTTGAATTGATAGCGTTTTGGAAGTCGGAGAGAACTTGCTGGGATGTCTTGACTGTGGGTTTGTCGACAAAGGTTTTAGGATCAGCATAAACACCTGCAATATTCACTGTTTGCAGAAGCTAAAGTACTTGTCAGATTTGAAGCATATTTCGATCTAATGCATTCTCGTACCTGCCCAGCACAGAAGATCTCGCTGGGACACCAAGGTTGTTTTGGTGGCAAGGGAATCTGGGATGGTAAAGCACTGGACAAGGCTACAGTCGGACTTGCGACCGCAGTTGACAATGTAAGCGACGGGACTCCCGTACTCGTACCAGGAGCGGTTTGAGTCTGGGGCAGTGCCCCTACTACTTCAAGCAGGCACAGCGCTGCAGTAAGAGTTGTCCACATCATGTCCCTCGTCGTGATAGAGGTTCGCGGAGAAGACGCGAGTGTGTGGTTAAATCGTCCTGCATGTTAAATACAAACCGGTTCGTATTCTGGCGCCTGCTAAGACAGGAGAACTCCCCTCATGATGATGGCGAAGAGAATGTTCACGCGCATACGCCGTGTTAGGTAACATCTGTACGCTCAATGACGTCCGTCAGAATTCTACCTGTTTGCTCCATCCCGACGCTGAGTGCTCACCTGACAATCCAGGTTATTTATGTCCGACAGTTCTATGATGGTTCTGCCTCGGCCTTGACACGGACCCGTTGATCGTGTTTCGTCTTGTGCGTTGCAGAACCTCTCTGGAAAGTGAGTCTCAGGAAGATCCGCATGAGTGCAATTGGAAGAGTACGATGCTGAGACTCGAGGCTCGAGAGTAGTCAGCAATTTTACATACCGGTGACGTAGTAGATGACCGGACAAGATATCAGCCTTCGATAGCTCAGTTGGAAGAGCGCGAGACTGTAATAGGATACCGCAATCTTGAGGTCGCTGGTTCGATCCCGGCTCGAAGGACTATATTTTTAACTTTCTCACAACGGAATCGCCACCGACGTCATCGAGATACATTCCAAAATACAGCCCGTAGGCAGATTACACAAAACGGATATCAAAGCACAGTACAACAAAACATAGCGCTAAAAACACAGAACAAGCAACCAGTAGCACGGCAAGTACTTGCAAAGCAAGGCAGGATACAAAATGCATTAAACCGGATAATGAAAGATAAATGAAATGTGTCCAATGGGACATGGTCGTCTCTGCACAGACAGTTGTCATGAGTAGGCAACATTGGCCTGAGAAACGTCGCTGCTGCGAGCACGATGCTTGGCAGGTGGAGGTGGTAAGAGCTCAACAGCTTGGCTCTCGGTGCTAGAACTATCCGCGGTCTTTGCGGAGAAGGTAGATGCCCTTGAGCGTCTGCCCTTGGCCAGGTGTGCAGCCTGGCGTTCCGCTGAGAGCGGTATATCGTGAACATACCCACTGGGTATAGCGGAGTTCATACCGGCAGGTGAAGCTACAAAGTCGTCGCTCTGCGCACTGTACACAGAGGGAGACTTCCGCCATCGACGGAGATAGTTGGCTTGGATAGTAGCTGCGGCGGTGTCATGGGTGTGGGTAGGTAAGACGGATTCGGTCTGGACATGGCGCCGACGCCTCGTGTTTGCCACGAGGTAGAAGCCCAGTAAGAGCAAGACGAAGAGAACTATGGGAGCGTCAGCGTAGGACCAGAGATGGTAGATGTCTGCAACATCCTCGAAGCAGGAAGACACGCACCCAACCCGACCACAATACCTATCTTCGTGTCCGTGGCGAGTTCACCGTTCGGAGATGTATCTGACATCTGAGCGTGAATGGCGCCCCATGTCGTTTCTGGTATGTATGATGTCGATGCCATAACAGTGAGATGAGATGTGGCTGAGATCAGGTGAGAACTAAGGGTAATGTTCTCACTGATGCGGGGTATGTGTACGTTGTATGCGGTCGAGAGCCAAATCGAGACAGGGTCAAATGTCGATGACTCGAGGGGTCAAGCTTCAAGTGTGGATGTCAAGAGTCAGGCTGTATATATAGTGTACCGCAGCTTAGCCAAGAGTATCGGAGGAAGGCAGTGACTCGAGTCCGAAGAGATATGGATATGGAAGAATACGGATCACAATTCTGACAGCATCTCTCAATCTATGGTTCGGAGAGCGTAAATCAACACACACAACCCTCTTATGCCGGTCCTAGTGTGCTTTGGGGTTGGGCTTGTGTCAAAGGCATACCTTAGACGTCGATATAGCGATTGCAGGAGACCGGCATGAAATGTCCTTACACGGCAGCATCGTGCCTGGGCGCATACGACAGTTACTGTAAAGCTAGAAGCTTCAATCATATGGATGACGGAAGAGATACCTTCCACCACCGGGGGACGTGTTGTCCCAAGATGGGCAAACCAAACACCATTGCTGTAACATGCCGACGGCAAAGATTGTCATGAGACGCACGCCTTCAGATGATTGACATTGATATCGATTACATACCAGGCTTGAGGCGTCTTTATACCCTCGAAAGTTCCCATGTTTCACCCTTGGCACGGCAGTAGAACTCTGCGGGAAGAAGGATAGTAGGTGAAGGCGCTGCACAAACCTATCAATTTGCTTTCACTCTCTCGATGGTCACCGGAGTGGCTGCGGCAACAATGAGGCATATTTGCGTTCGGATGCCTTGTTTCCGGCACCTAACCCCGGCAAGGACGGTGCTCATAATGAGCTCATGCTTAAGGTTCGCTTTCAATGGGTTGATCTTATGCATTGTGATGGTTCGGAGATGGTAGAGACGGCAGGAATGAAGACGGATGTGATGTCGTAGTCGTAAAGATGGCTGCGCATCTCAGACTGAGAGCCCCTACAAGATTACGAAGTTCAGCATAAACGACGGCACAATTGAAATTTCTTATCTGGTCCATAATCCGCCCCATTTAGTTCCGCAATGTCTATAATTGAAAAATCGAGTCAGGTACTACCTTATCATGACACCTACCTAATAGACTTAAGTGTTGAGGCTGTGTGAGGGTTTACGTCCACTAATGTCAGCTGGTACGAGACGCGGCACAGGTCGATGACGATTCATTCCAGAGGTATCTCTGAGAAGTGGACGGCATTGTAAAAACCGTTGAGGACGATGATCGAAGTTCCGTATGTATATTGTATTTGGGTGGAGTCCAGTCAGGCTGAAACGCAAGAATAGGCGGAGATAAGAGGTTTATAAGTATAAAGGAGACAGATATGCATGTAGCTTGATCGGTGCAAGAACTTGGGCGAAGTCAGAAGATGATAAATTGACTCGGATGGCTTCACTCACGAAAACGGTGTGACCTCACGCTTCTACACTCGATTCGAGTAGGCCTGTTCAGAACAACATTTGTAAGGTTCGTGTACCATTTCAAATTTGACCCAGATATATCAGGTCCTAGGATAACGAAGCCATTGTGGGTAATAATTTAGGCAGAGACCGACACTGTCATACGATGAGGATTAGAGAATCTAAGAAACTAGTACAAAGTGAATGTTGAAAAGTTGAAGTTAACTTGGAGCTTTGGTGAGTCAAGCGTAGCGTGCGTAACTTCTCACGCCGAAACTCCGAGGTCCTCGAGGGTAAAGTCGCCTGACATGTTTAACTTTAAGTCGTGACTATCGATAACATATATCTGACCTTATACAAATATTTCCTAATGAAGCGGTCGTGGACATCCAGAGGGCGGAGAATACGACGACGGTCTCGGATGACTAGGCTTCACCTTTAACGTTTAACGTTTACACACATTAACGTTCGAGTTGGGTCGCGGCGAGTACGTATACGAGTAGTATCCGGATAGTCTATCAATAGCTAGTAGTTGGCTACGTGAGCTCTCTGTTGTTTTAGCCCTGCACGATCCCAATGGCACTCGAGCCAATGTCGATTAATATGGCATATCTCTGGCTATTTATAGCTTCCCTCCGAGTTTTGACGTTCATCGTCAATCCAATACCAATACTTACTTACACCTGCACTAGGCTCCCACTGGTACCTGGGTGATAATATCAGCAACACAGCATACACGCCCTCTACACCCGATGAATAACAGAGGGTAAGTTTAGTAACTCTGATCACCGTGACAGCTCTTGCTAACTGTCGCATTGAGCGAGTTGAGGTTTCAACTATGACGTAAAGCGAGCATCTTCCGTAACTTAACCTATGCTACATTAATACGGACTGACACGGTACAGCTATATCTTCAGGACTCTCATGAATGTGCAATAGTTCACACACGGAGTAAGCTTGACTAGCGATTAACAGATGGCAGTGTTGACGTACACCGCCTCGCTGAAGAAAACGTTCTGAACAGATTTCTTTGTATCGGTTTAGAGTTGTACTAGGGGACCCTGTGAGTAATTTCGTGAGACTCAGAGGTATATATATCCACAGACATACTATACTACTGCTCTCCCCATAGTCGCTCCCTATTATACATACTCTAATGGACGATTTCGCTGCTTCGTTAGAATGGCAGTAAGACTCGAAGATCTATTGTTATGATTCACTCATTACTTACGCTGATACTCTAGGCAGCTACAGAACTATTTGAACGTTGGAGCGTCTGGTGGGAGCTATCTTCTCCATACATCCTATCACGTTATTTACAATCTTACAGCATTATACATTTATGAGTTTTGGTTAACTCTACCATGGCAAATACGATGTTTCTGGAATCGACGATTCTCACATGTTTCTGCAATGCTCTATCTCAATTGCTATCTAAATTGCGTTGTTTGTGTTATGACTGTGATCGGTCTACCAAGTATCATAAAGGAAAGCTTCGGGTAAGGTACTAATAATCTATCAACCCGAAATTGGATTGCGTCGCTGAACCTATACTTGCAGATATACATCTATCTGATACGACTAATCCCTTCATCTGATGATATTCCCTGCAGATGTAAGGTGTGGTTCTATTTCAGCTGGGCCCTCAGCATCATCAATTTGATAAACTTCCAAAGTAATCCATCTCCCGCCACATATCGGGTTTCGTCTGAAAATATTTGAACCCTAGGCTTGTGCGCTATTAGGTTGTGGGCGATTTGCGGGAAGAGAAACCTGTTTTTAATGCCAGTTATTATAACGACACTTATTGCTGTGTCAATGAATGTGGTGAGATGTCAACTTTGCTGCAGATTCTTCTTGTTCGCTCACGGAGGCGAATATAGGTTGTATACTTCAGACATGTTACTTTCACCGTTGAACCTTTCTATGGATGTAACACTGCTATTCGGATAAGTGATGCCTTGGATCTACAGTAGGTTGTCATGATTCCTTGGATTGATTGATTAGGTTGACGGTCATCATTAGGTGTACGGTCCTTGATTTTCTTTGCTTCTATACAGGAAAGTTGATTGGCGATGAATTGCAGTGTCCTACGTGAACAAGATAGCATCAGTTATTAGCGAAAGCTGGGCCACAGCGGCCGTCACTTATGTTTTATACCCTTCTATCAAGGCGTATCAAGAAATCCTTAGTCCGCATATCAAGATCATCCTCGAAGATAGTAAGGATAATTTTCTTTGATCGAGTTTAGAAATGAGGGTGAATAATATATGACTTTCCCTCTAGATCTACTGGGTTTCCTGTAAGACATGCTATACCTGTCAGCCAAACATCTCTTTTAACATATTGTAGAACGATGCTTTTCATGAGCACATTAGATCTTTTATATCTGAAGTATTTCAGGGTAAGTCTTCCGGCGTATACTCTCCTCCATGTCTCATGACTTATACCCTTCCTAGATGAACAATCCTTTGCCCACCGCATTCGATCTGTATGTCAAATATTAACATCCTCGTCCCAATCCTCACATAAAACACGAACAGCATTAATGCTATACTGGTTGCGGATCTCCTGTACAAACTGCGCAGTGTGGATGATCATGAAGCATACATCGCGACCACCGAGTCAGATTCAACTCATATGGCATATCAAGATCATGTTATTTCCAT